TTCATGACGATCGTCTGCATTTTTGTCTGTACGCTACTTGATTGAAGTTTTCCGTTAATCAAACTTTATTTTTTGCTACTTTCGTGATGTAAAAGTACGTACAGGCTGATGATTGTGCATGTATTCGTTGCTTGTTTTGTACGTAGCAAACGTAGCATAATTTGTTTATTCGTTCGAGTAGAGCCTGCCGATAGCACATGATGTCTAACGTATCGCGGCGTTCTTCCAGTCTTGGAAAAAACGAAAAAATACGTGTGTACGTCAACGAAAAAAATTAAAAGCAAATTTACCGATCTCAATAAAGTTCACTGTTTTTAATGCGTAAATGTGACTCGTGTTTGTATTCTTTGTGTCGTTATGTGTTCGATGCCCTGTCCACCCCCCACCCCCATAGTTTCAATGAAGGCCGAGAGTTTGAGCCTCAGAGTCTCTTAATCGGAAAGGCCGGGTATTTGAAAAAAATGTGCTGACAAATTGGCTTTTCAAATAAGCGGCTTCTACTGACACACCAAAAATAGTTTCTCAGTTTTGGCAAAATAAAGATATATTTTAGTATGACCAGAGAGAGATCGAACCACAATGATACTTGAAGGAGAAATATATTCTGAACACCGGATATATTCTGAACACCAAAAATTGAACTATACCAGACTCTTTATTTCTTTAACAACTTCAGAGTCCTTGGCTTGAAGTTTTGGGCACAAGAATGGTACTTTCTTCTCAGCAAGCTGCTTCTGGTAGTGGTCAGCCTTGGGAAGAAGACATACCAGAACTTGCCACATACTTCTGGAGCATCCATCTGTCATCAGACCCTTAGACTGGAGAGTTGGACTCCCAAAAACAGACATACCACACACAAGTCCACTTACAGGGTCCAGACAGTTAGTACACAACTGGTAATGTGATGAAGTCTGTAGACTCCGTAACTACAACAGAACGCCAACCAACATCTTCTCTGGTCAAAATGTCAAGACCAATACACCATTCCATGGACCAATCCAGGGCTCTCCCCAAGCAATGAAACAAGGGTGCTCACCCTCTCCCCAAAAACCCTAGCACCCCTCCCAAAATGTTCAAATTTAGGGTTTCTCGGTCTTGGAATTTTCATGAAAATTCACAGATTTTTCATCAACAGATTAGGGAGCACCTCTCCCCTAAGAATTTCTGGGGAGACCCCTGCAATCCTACTGGCTGGTTACCAGAACTATTTTAACAATTGCAGAGGATATAGACTCCAGAGCTAAAATGTGTCTGGTAACCAGGCTACCAATTCTAAGAATGGATAAAACAATATTTATACCACAGTACCCTCAAATGGCATTTGCAATAAATGTTCATCTGCTTCATCATGATTTCCAGTGAGCGAGGGCAATTTGTCAAGTTCGATTCCCAGATTAACAGAACGATCATAAAGACGAAAATTATAGACAGACTCATACAATATCTTTATCGATAACTGGTCCAGTCGTAATTTTTGGAAAGTCAATATAACGTCTGCCCCGCGGTCAAAACCTTCACCTCTATAGTATTACTGTGAGGTGGCTGGGAAGGGTGCAGTATGACATTGATATATGGTTTAATCAAGTGAGTTGGTAGTTATCTGTTTGTTACCAGATCGCAGCGTTTTGGCGGCACTCCACAGGGGGTCAGAGGTCGGGTTTAGTTTCTCGCGGCAGGAATGTTCTTCCAAAGGTCACGCCTGCGGATCGGCCTCTTGGAAAACCCTCGTATTTTCGCCCCCTCCGAGCCGTAACTAGTCACCTGCTCAGGAGAGGGTTGACATCACCCATTTGTCATGTGGAGAGACTTGCTACACCAGTCGCTGGATGCTACTGATCTTCAAGAGGGCCTGCATGGGGGTCCCGACAACGCTCTATGCTGAATTCTGAGAGCCGGCTACGTATTACGCCGAATTCAAGAAGCCTCCCACATTATGTTTTATGATAGATTCCGGGTAGTTACAACACATTATATAGAATCAAAATGGCAAATTACGCTCTGCGCAAAATGCACCAATTATGCTCTACGTTGAATTAGAGAGGTCCGTCTACGCTCTACTTAGAATTAAAACGGCTGATTACGCTCTATGGAAAAGTGCATGCGACCACCCTCTTCAATATTGCAGTGTATTGAAAATTCTACGCTTGACTAGTTCTGTGACCACGCTGACTGTTGTATAATGCATGTTGGCAAGGATTTGGAATAAAAGCCATGTTCCAGCCTGGTTGGCATTCTGATATTTTTCCTGCTATACATGCGGGAGATTTACACTGATAGCACTGTCTGTAACTATTGGCCACGTACTTGGATACAAGCCAGGTTCAAACTAAAAGGCTTTTGCAGTCTTTAAATCACATGTGTAGTCTGAATGTTAATCAATGTTCTTCCTAGCACAACGAATACACAGAGAACAGTATATGCCACACTTACACAGACTGGGAAGCAATTGACGTCAATTTTGTCTCATAGGAGGAAAGTGTTTCTGTCTAAGGTATAATGTTCAACCATCGTATTCTTTTTTTTACAGTCATACATTTTGAAATGAATAACAAATTTTTCGCTACCAGAGGAAGAGACTTATTTGAATAATTGATGCTACTACATAGATACAAGCAAAATGAAATTGCATCATTTTATGAGTATGCATCACATGTTTCTAGTTAATAAGTCTACAAGGAGGAAATGAGGAAATTCCATAAGGCTCCATAACCCCTGGGGGATTTACTTTGACAGGTTCATGTTTGTTTTCCCTTCTCTCATGTGTTAATCCATCCATGATACACATCCAGTCATTTCATGCTTCTAGCAGGCATCACTGGTCGCTGGAAAAATAGTAGAAATTACCCGAAATAAAGGGATCCGTGGGTCGCAAATTGGATCTTCTATGGCCCGGGATCTTCTCTGGTATACTATCCCTTTATTTCGACCAATTTCTACTATTTTTCCAGCGATCCACGGTGCCTGGTAGAGGCTAGGTTCTTGTTGGGAGTGATTACAGATTAGCACGGTTGGCAGCAATGCTGGTGCTTTCCTCTATCATGGAAACGTGATCTGGGTCTGGTACAACAGACAAAATCCCCCAAAACAAACTCGCAAACAACTGCAGACACCCTTTTCAGCTGATGGTGTCAGATCTAGTAAATGGAGCAAAGAGAGCGTCCACCACTAAGCTTTCTTATCTTTTAAATAGCAGTATTAGACTTCTCAACTCAAGGTTTCAAATACAAAAGTTGTACAACGTTGTAAACCCTTTCCCAAGTTTTCACGAGTATGAAAATATTTTTTCTAGATACCAAATAAAAAATTTGAGCTCAGTCCTCATACTCTCTACTCTAGTTCAAGCGGATTAAAATCAACCTAATGACTTTTACACACTGTCTTTAGATGTGTATTGTGGCCAACTGTTACAGTTCATTGCTAGCATCACATGTCTTCTACCTCCATGCTAGCACAGCATACTGGGTGAAATTACGAGCCTTTCTTGAATTTTCTACTTGATATAGATATGTAAAACCCATTGGTTTTGTCCACTCTTCTTGCCAGTCTTGGTGTACAGCACTACTAGTGCAGCACTTCTTTTTACCACCATGACCACATTCCTGACAGCAAACCTCTATGGACCACAAAATATGTGGCAAATTTCTCCTCAAGTGTCAGGCTCCTATAGGAATAGGAGTGGAAAATGCCAGCTTTATGTTACATAAACATAGGGCCATTCAATATACAAACAGTTGAACGTTCTGATGTATTACATGTACACGTAGGTCAGTGGAAGCCTTGTAGGTACTAGTAACTTAGTATAACTATAAGAGTAGCTGGAAGTTGTAAGATGTAAAAAGGTTGACCTGAAGGTGAACTAACACGTGCTAGGGACCTGTCCTGGTCTGGGGGGCATGGGTTCAATTCCCAATGCCCAGCACTGCCAAAGCAACTGGTAGGGAATACGCTGGTATAATTTGTGGGAAGACAGCCTAAGTTTAGTTGTCTTCCTTCAGTTAAAATATTTTTCACTTGAAGGGTAAAAATACATGTATAGTCAACATAACACGCAAAACGTGACCTAATTTAGGTACTTGCAGCAAGAATATACTCAATGTACAGTGGTCTGTAAATTACTTTTACACCTTTCACAGCACAAACTTCTTCCTTTTATGGCCAACATCAGTTTGGATATATAGATTCTGGCCTGCCTCCAGAAGAATGGGAATCTAGCCCCATTCCACAGATTGACAATTACATGCGACACTGCCCGCACACATGTAACAAGTTGCTGCAAGTCCAGAACTCACTGGGAGCCATTTGCAATCCTCACACTTTGAGACTGTGGCAGGAGACAGTGGAAAAATTAGCACATACGTCATAATACATTCTATCCCCCGGACATGCTTTTTTTCTTTCCATTTCAAATATGATTTAGGGTCTTCATTAAATTGCAGTTGGCATGGTCTTATACTAGACAAATGAAACCTTTAGTAGTAAGTTCACTTTCCAAAATTGTTACTCAACTTACTGAAATATATTTGAACCCACTTTAACTAGATTTCAAGGCCTGCTTTAGACTAGATTGAATACTCTGGTATCATAAGCTTATCTGCATGTATGGTATCTCAAACTTGACATGAACAAGACAACTTTCTGTAGACTACTGGCACCAGATAGTCTGAACAACATCTTTCGTTGTCTACTCTGGAGTTGGCAGGGTGCCATGGATTGTATGCATAACAGTGACCCTCAGTCCCAAACTAACACAACAGGAGACTTTTTATCATGAAAATTTGACATCAAAGTGAAAAAATACAGTTCATTGTTGTTTTGCCTGGTTGTGGAAAGCCAATTATATGAAAGACTAGGGAAACATTTTTAACCTTTATTTGGTAATGATCAACTTTGTGGCTACCTGCCAAGTGAGTAAAACTATCACTTATTGTTGGTGTTAACTGAGGAGGACATCCGCAAGTGACTTGTTTTGTAAGTATTGTAACTATTGACATTTCTGCTGTTTGTTATTTATTTGCTGCACTATAGACTGATCCCATAGCCCCACCCAACTCAGAAGAAATGTAGAAAAGCTAAAAGTTTACATTTGTGCATTGTCACACATAATTTTGGTTGGTCTCCTAAGCTTTTGAATTGTGGACAGCTGTACAGTAACATTAAGTATTTAGGTATTAATGAATATACCTACATTTGATAAGGGTATACATTAAAATCATAGTGCAAAATGGATACTTTCTCTACTTCCTGATTCACTCGCACACTTACTAACCAACTTACTCAAATAAATTTGCTTTTGATGTGGGAGTCAGGTTTCAAAAAATAATTATGATCAGGCAAAACTTCTGGAAGTAATTTTCATTTTGTAACATTCTTCCTCCACTTTTCAGACTTGAATTTAAGTTGATTACACAAAATTATACCATAACAGTGTACGTTGGACAACCTACCTCTACGAACTTGTCTTTGGCGAAGACTTGTAGTAAGGCCGTCTTGCCCGCTCTCTCGTCTCCTACCACGATCAACTTACACCTACAAACGTTGCCACCACCGCTACTGCTGCCTCCTCCTCCTTCCATCTTTAAGTAACTGAGCGGAAATCCCTCCTCAAAGTCTTAAAGACGTCCACCCCGGTGAGAATTTGTAAGACACCGTCGCACACCCCTCAGAGATCTGACGCGATGTTTCTAATTCCTTGCAGCAGGGGACGAAACAGGACAGGACTCGACCGCGTGCCGACCTACTTCCCAACGCCTTCACACGCTTCTCACCGCAGGCTTCAACCAATGACACCGGGACAACTTCAGATAGATTCTACGACAAAATCCAGTGCTCGATCCCCTTTTCCTGGCTTGGAGAGCAAGTATGAACCTCGAGAACACGTCGCGTATCTCCCCTCCCCACACGATGGTCCACTTTCTACGGTTGTGTTTTCCTCCCGAACAGCTGATTCGACCAGAGCTAGAAACAACTACCAACACTGCCGGCGATTCCTCAAGTCGTCTGCGGTCCTCAAGATCGTGTCACGTCGCGGTAAAACTGAACAAAAGAAGTAGGAAATATCGGAGTCGATTAGGCGAAACCAGATCTAGTCGAACACGTCTAAACTTGCACAACATCCATGCCACACTGACATTCCGCCGCCGGCACCACGCTTTAATGATCTTTAGGCTCTGTATGGAGGATTGGCGAGACCCGGATCAGAACTTACCGCGAAATCGTCGCGAGTCCAATGACTTGCAAAATCTAAATTCTCCACGAATCTATCTGTTTCTTTTAAAATCCTACCGCAGGAAGCACAGTCTTGATCTTGTGTGATACTGAAATAAATCTAGCTCATATCGCAAACAAGGAAAGGAACACGGAAAACTACAAGTAATCCTCTTTTCCGCTTGACTTACTCAGGAGTGCCACACCAAGATGGAACCATTTTATCACTAGGGGTAGATTATCGACTTGGAACTTAAAATAGTCGTAAAACAACAATATATTAAGAAACGGTTACAATATAAGAAATATTTATCAGTAAAAACTATTATATTATATGCCTTGTTATCATGCGGGCTACTTTAGTTCACTTTTATGTATGCTGATATATATTTAGAAAAAGAGCACCCCTATTTGTAGAATGTTGCTGTCCAATCGGAAGTGAATGATTTGCGTATGAAGCGTACTCGCGGCCGACGCCCCAAGGGATTTCCCACCGCGATTAGCCACAACCCAAATATGGGCAGCACCCTTTTCCACGACACCTTCGGCGAGCAAAGTGCTGTTATCTAACGCCAACCTGCCCTTTCATCAAAAACCTATGAAAATTGGGCACGTTTGTCAGAAAAATAGCCCATGACTCAATGGACATTACGTCAGAAGGGTTAGAAACCAATTTAGGTGAAAACCATTGCCCCTCGGAGATGAAAAGAGATTTTGGCGTTCAGCACCACATTTTTCTTGACGTTGTGTAGTGACGAAGGAAAATTACATTTTAACCCGAGGGCAACTTTATTGTGATGCCACGCTTGGGGATTTTCATTTTCAATTTACTCCGTGGGCTCGCCACAATAATTACACTCGTGGCTCGTGTTGGGGAGAGGTACTACTAGTATGACATGGCAGGTGACTAACCGTGACTCATAGGGGGAGTTTTTCGGTCATGGGAAATAGCAAGAATTACGGCCGTGTGTCGTCAGTCAGTATTTAAACAAGGAAACCCGTACGTGATTCAGAAGCGAATGATACCTCTGACGTTGAACGTGCGCACGATACTATACGGTATACGGAAATAACGTACTACTACTACTAGGTTCTACTAGGCTGGGCCTGCCACTGAGAAACATTGCGGAAATGTGTAGCCTCTTTTCAGCGGCTTCCCGAAGCCTCTACTGTCTGAGGAGCCTCTATCGGGCTTCGGGAAGCGACTTGATAATAGAAATATGAAGAGTAGAAATTGGCCAAATTTAAATATATAGACAGATAACATAACATAATAACAGGGGAGTTAGTCCGCTAAATGAGTAACATTTATACAGTTTTCTGCTCCTGGACTGAGTGGATGGTCAGTACTAAAAATTTAACATGACCGTCAGACGAAAGATACATGTAGATCAAAGTACATTGTTACAAATAAAATTTTAATGGAGAAAATGCTTCTGAAGTAATCTAATTTTTCATCGTTCAGCTTTTTACTGAGGAATGCGGTTGCTAATAAGTCGGCGCCGACGCTTTAAGATCTGTGTCTGATATTTTAATTTCCCTTTGTGACAAAGTGACTTTTGGTACGCTTGCACTTTTCAAGAGAATACGGTTCCGTGTACGTATCATGAGATTTCTTACTCCAAGGACATTATACAGAATAATGTCCTTGCTTACTCGTAAGTTACTGATACGACTGCTTTGTGATCGCCTTTCACATAAGTCAAGTTCCTCCTGCCAGAGACCGTGAGATGCGGACGATCGGCGCTGTTTGAACGTTTTTCTCGCGTGTCGTTGCGGTCGGCTGCCGGGCGCCTGGCGCACGCTTGCGGCGGTATTTCACAGGTAGACGCTACCCGTGAGTCTGCGGCAAGATCGGGTCAGACATGCGGTCAAGCTTGGGGTTCTCCTCCGGGGGTCAATTATATATAGATATAAAGGGCAACGCACGGGATATATAGGCCGTATAGGATAATTTCTAGCTCAGATGTCTAGCCTCTACCAGGCTTCGGGAGGCGGCTGGAAAGAGTAGAAATTGACCAAATAGAGGGATAACATGCCGGGGGAGTTGGTCCGCGCTAGAAAAAGTACAGTTTGCTGAAAAGAGTAAAAACTGACCAAATAGAGGAATAACATGCCGGGGGAGTTGGTCCGCTAGAAAAGTAAGTTTGCCGCCTCCAGAAGCCTGGTAGAGGCTGGACAATTTTGACATCTGATTCTGAGTCATGTGTAGGAAGACTGTATGAGCAAGTATGAGCACTTGTTTATCTTGCATTGTGCTTCTGGCGCAAACTAAGGAGCCTTACGCAAACCTTCAGTCAGTATGACCGAATTCCAAACTACACAGACAGTTCCTTGCGTTCATTGAATGCCTAAGAAGACCTAGAAGACCCTAAGAAGACCCCTTTTCTGTTCACATGGCATTCAATGAACGCAAGGAACTGTCAATCTAGAAAGACTCGGTTCACCATTCGTTGGTATTTTCAATCCCAACATCTGCTTGGAAATTTCCATTTTCTACCCTTCCCGTCAGTGGGTAGTTGTTACCATGGAGTTAAAAGATGGAATTAAGGCGCCTTGTTGTTTTTCTACCTCCATCTTGTTATTATGCATGTATGCTGGAATATATTCACCGCTCCAGGTCAAGGTAGCACTGTGCCAAGAAAATAATCGACTGAAAGAAATGCCAAGTGGAATAAAAGCCTTGCAACCAGCTAACTGAAAGGCGTATTACCGAGACAAAAATTGGCAACAAAGAATGGACAAACTGTCACATAGAATTTATACATTGTACGTCTGTGCGTTTAGTCAAATTTCTGCACAGTATATAACATTCGTTTAAACAATTGACTGTTTATCATTCACAGAAAACTAATAATAAAACTACCAATTTGCACGTTATGTTATTATATACGGTAAATCAATAAATTTGGTTATACCACCTTGGTCATACATACCAAAACACGTAATGGTATGTCTGATATTTTTCATGAATCATCATTCGTAAAATACATTTTAAAGACTTGACATTGAGCAGTTCGGTTGGTATGGCCCTTGGTATGGTATAACTACTAGTATATAAGCGTTCTTACTACTCTCATGCCATATCTCCATCCCTTTCAATCTCTCTCCCACCTTCCTTCCTTCTCTCTCTCTCTCTCTCTCTCTCTCTCTCTCACCCCTCTCACACACTCTCTCTCTCTCTCTCTCTCTTGGCCTTCTTTCTTTTTCGACTGACAGAGACACATAACCATTTGAAACAAGTTCCTCGAGCATAGTGAAATCTAATTTACCAGCACTATAGCCCAGTATTATGCTGCAGCCGGTACGTCGATGTTGTGAATCGACCAGTGCGATTTGGACCTTTAGAGGTAATCTCCAGACGCAGTGCTGGGGGAAAATGATTATCGCCCAACTTCTCCCCCCAGATAGTGTTAGCCTTGTACAATCTGTATGTGTCAACCTACAAGAAGTACAAACTATTGGGAACCTATGACACTGAATCTGACCGCTACACCAACTTGCGGGCACGTTACTGATTGTACCAAAAAATGTATGTGGAGGTGAGAATTTTCATCGATCTAGATTCTAGAAATAGCGTGGAAATGTTTATTACGTATATAGTGTGCGCAAAGTGTTGAGGGTTTTTTTAATAGAGAGATACGGAAAGCTGCAGAAATGGTCGTGAAATAGCGCCTCCTGTAGACCGTTACCATAAGAGCAGCGGGATACTATGAAATCAAGTTAAAAGCAAACTAAGCTAGCAAATTAAAAAAAAAATCTCTAGAAAGAGTAGTAATGTTTTCCTCTCAATTTCCCTGTATCATCAGTTCAACTGCAAGTGTTTTCTCACTACAAACAAACGCGATGTCGAACCTGCTAAGCTCGTCATAAGTGTTTTGACACCCACGTTGTGGACTTTGTAGCGACCTCCCGTAAGCCGTTCAACGAACTTGTTTGATCAAGTTTTCATCCATAACAACGACTTTTTGAATCTGATGTCCTGGGTTAATCATTACAGGAAATATTACACGCACTCATATGACTCTCATGTGCAGCAATATACAGGTACTTGCGGGCAGTTCAGCGCCGAAGTGAGCTCAAAATACAAGGTCTGATAACCTAGTGGTCAACGTTCGTTCACTCGTTCAACGTACACTTGTAATATACTACTCACACTACAATTGTACAGTCTAGCTATATGTAAAAAGCTGTAGTAATGGAGAAATCAATTACAAATGTATACTAGTATTCAATTGAGAACGGACACTTAGAAAGAAAGACACATAGTTAATATACTTTTTTTCTAAAAAAATTTTAATTCATTCATTTTCCTCAAATTTGTCTCCCCTGTCTATACTTCTTGGTTCGAATTTACCCCGTGTGAAATCCTTCCAGCTCTTCGATAAGTGCCCTTCACCTGTGTCTAAGGAATGTACTCAGAGAGCTGGGCGAAAGGTACTTTACGAACTAGGCATGTAGAACTATCAGGTTACTTGGCACGGGGATCGACCGTTACACCAGGCGGGTGGTGACAAACAGTGTTTTATTCGTCCGCTAGTGGGC